AAAAAAGGGAAAAAGAAAGCATGAAGTATCTTAAGGACTCAAGTGCTCTTGAGTGAATTAATTTGTACCAGATCATACTTCCCCAACATAAGTTCTCCTACAAAATTAAAGTACAGAGAGATGAAGGTCTTATTCCTTAGAGCTATTGAGGTCCTTTTTTTTAAATCTGAAAGCAAAAAACCCCACTACTTAAAATAAAATAAAAAATAATAATTAAAAAACAAAAGAGAAACCGAAGGCAAAAGAACAATCTCCAAGGTAACACAAGGATGTACTTGAAAATAAAGTCCACAGCCAGCTCTTCCAAATATTAAACTCCCATTAATCCAAATCCAGCTGTCCATCCCCTCAAAGTTAATAAACTAATATATTCACAATAGTACAGGATCCTAAACGCAGCAGAATAAATGGTATCATCTATAGATTTCAGTAGATGCAAATAAATGCACCCTCCATTATTTCCTGCATTTTAACTGAAAAAATGTTTTCAAAAGTACATTTAAAAACTCTGGAAAAATCCCTCTGCTTCTCAATCCTACATATTTATTACATTGATCATAGGGGAGAGCTCATAAACATCCATAAAATGATTTATAGCCTCTTCTGCTAAGAAGCAGTGTATTGAAAAAAGCCAGTACAGAACTGCCCTGAAAATGTGATTCAATTATCTTGTACTCACTATGTTTTATGTAAAGCATCAAACTAGGTTTTAACTCTACCTGATAATATTCCTTTTGTCTTTTATCCTGCATTTGGGTAAGTAAATTTGGACATAATACTGTAAGTACCACACTACCAATGAACTTTCTACCAGAGAATAAAGTGAGCAGACAGAAGTTCATCTGTTTCTATAAATAAATAAAAAAAAATAGTACAACAAATAACAGCGAGGAATTAAACTCTCCCAACAGGCTAATTCTAACTTCACGTAATTAATGTTCAAAGCCAGACAGGATAACATCAGCAAAAGTGCCATGCAAGGAGTCCCCCAGGTCACACTTGCAGAGTACTCTGAAGTCCAGCATCAAACCTAGAAATGCAGCCACTTGTCATCCTGGGATATGCTGCTGAGCTCCAACCCTTCGGCATCCCTTCCATTTCCCCAAGATCTGCTTCAGATGCAAGGCCTGGAATCCTAAGATTTGTCAGCTCTCATCTGCCTACTATTATTTCCTGATTTATTATGTTTTCTAAATGAAAGTTATTCTTCCGAACCAAGGACAAGGCTGGTATGGAATCAGAGTGATCCAATTTTAATAATACAATCACAATTAATTACCTTCTCTGTTGGTTAGTTATTTTCCTGCCGTTCAAGAGCTTGCCAGAACATGCAAATCTATGCTTTATTTTCCTTTATTTCCATTTCAGCTTGATGCCATAGGCAGTTTTCAACTGGACAAATCCCATCTTCTTATTTTTCTCAGAAATCTGGTCAAGTATATTCTACAGGATCTATGGTTTTAATTCCAGTTTCTCAGCATACCTTCTGTCCCCCTTTATCTTTTCTTCCCCTGTTCTAACAGCTGTTTGTCTAGTAACAGTCCCTTCCTTAGAAAATGTCACTCATGAACCTTCATTTCTGTATGAACAAATACCTGCATATGAACCACCCTGGGAAATCGATGGGTTTAAGGTCTTTACTAATACTCCTTTGACCACCTCCTTGCTATAGGCAGTACTAGGAGAGAAAGGGGATACAATAAGAAACCTAGATAAGAGAAACAAAAAAAAGGATGAAATAATAAGCTACAACAGCAATGCTGATCTGTGTAAGAAAAAGCAAAGCTGAGAGCCTGTGAAATGCTCTTCCCTGTAGCCACTTTTCCAAGAACTGAAAGGAGGAAGTGAAACCACAGACCAGAAGAGGAAAGTCAACTGGAGTCCTTTTTCTCTGTGAATGACAAGTAGGTCATTCTTCTGAAGATGTCAGGGACAAGTATGTCAGTCCAGTTGATAAAAGGAGACTAAGGAAAAAAGAAATAGTGAATAAGAAATTTGCCCTAAGTTCACACAAATGAAGCAACCAGAAAAAATTGCAAATAATAGCTCATCTCCTGAGTAGCACATGTTAACTTTGTGCCACTGATGATCTTCATTTTATTGACTAATTTGTTTGTTACTCCAGACTAAAATAATGAGTCTATGCAGCCAGGTGAACTGCTTTCCTCCTTTATCTAAGAGTTTCTGTCTCACAGACATGACCTTGTGGACAGCAGTCAATTTGTCCCAACAGGCTGAGTGTCAGAGCTGTCCTCAGAGTTCCTGACAGAGACAGCACTAATGTGATGACCATCAGGAGCTGTAGCTTACACTGGGGAGGTATTCCAGTTTGGCACTATGGAATACCTGCGAAGACAAACCTGAGAAAAATGAGGGTTGTGTTGCTGTTCAAGAACCAAACAGCATTACTCTGTTCACACTTTTAAAAGCTTTTCTGCTTATAGCGCTCCCAGAGTGAAATTCTGAAAATAAAAAGAAGTATTTTAGAATCCCCAGTTTTTCCTGTAACCTACATCCCTGCACACACTTGCTGTGTCCAGCAAAACATAGGCTAAAGTAATCCTAGACAGGATGCAACATTACTTTTTTCCTCTAAAGTATTATTTTCAATCCAGAAAAGGAACTAGTCCTGCCACACTATGTTCATGCTGTTTGTGTTGGCAAATTCAAAATACACATCACTGTAAAACCTCAGAATCCTTAAAAAAAAAACCAATCAAAACCCCCATAAAACTACAACAATCCCCAAAAACCCACAACTGGTAACAAAACCTTCTTCAAAAACTAGACCAGCTCATCAGCCTCATGGTGAAACACCCAATATCTACAGCACACCAACATCTGATGGCCTTAGTAAAACCTCTTATTTGGTTCTGATCACATTTTTACCATGACAATGAGAATTTCATAATGTGTCAGAGAATAAGATAAGGAAAAAAATAATACCATGTTTTTATAGTTCTTTCCTCTTAAATGAAATAATGTTTGTAAAACCTGTGCTGTTAAAAAAAGCAGCCTTACGGGTCTTCCTAGTTTCCTGCCTGAATATTATTTCCACCCAAACACTGATTCACAGCCCCAGCAGTTTCTACAAATTACCTCGCCTCCAGAATGGAATTATGGTGTCCTGTAATTAGTACTTCTCTATTAACTACAGTTACCAACAATAGTGTGCTCAGTTGGGCAAATCATCATCTACCCAGGCACAGATGTCACAAACTGCCTGGGAAAGAAATAAATTATAGATCAATACTACTGGAACTGGAATCACCCATCCCACCTGATTAGAACTCACAGATTTCAGTACCTTTCAGACAACAGGTAAACAGACTCAGAGAATTATTTATATTACAAAGTCAATGCCTTAAACAAATATTAACAAAGCCTGTCCCTAAACTACCACTCTACAGAGACAGTTATGTTTATTTTTAAAGTACCGTCATAAGATATTTTAGTAGCCACACCATTAGCCACAGCTGAATTTCAAAGCAATACCTCCCTATATGGCCACTGTGGAACACTAAAGCTTCACAGCCTTGCACAAATAGTCTGGGCTGACTGGCTGAGAAATTGTGTCAGTTTCTAGCTCAGCTCAAGTGCTTTCAAACATACTTGTGTGCCAAGTTTATCCTGCATTTTGGGAAAATTTAAGAAGCCTGAACTAGTGAGAATGCTTGACTGGAGCAGGTATGCACCTACTAGCACATCCACCTGATATCAAACTAAATCTTACCACTCGATGCTCTGAGAAGTCAAGGATGAAACTGATGCTGTAAAGTAAAATAAATTTGGAAGAAAACCACAAACAACCCAAACCACAGATATTTATTTGTTCACCCTAGTTGTCAGTGGAAGAATAAACCTTTCCTTTAGTCTAGGATTCATCCATGGATTACAGCTTTTGTTTTCTTATTCTTGCAATTAACATAAATAAGTTTTGGGTGCGAACTGGAACCCTGCCCAGATCTTGGTTAGAAGCTGGGCTGGTTCTTCCAACAAGAGTCCAAGACACTCCTGGCTCACAGTGCTGCTGCCTGGCCAGGACCTGCCTCTACATCCAGGCTGCAGCCATGCGCAGGCAGCCAGCAGTATCCCTGTTGGAAAGGGAGGAAAGATTACCAGAGAATTCTACCTTCTTGTCTCTTAAAAGTGCTGTGCCACCCTTCCTCAGTGTGAGTGACCTGTACATGACAAGATTCGTGATATGAACTGACCTGACACCTCCGGAATAGCCTTTGGAAGTGGGTTTGGTTTCAGTTTGCCTGGAGGATGTCATGCACTGCTTCTTCCTGGGGGAAAGAGCTGGCAGCAGCATTGTTTTGCATCAGAGTATTTTTCAGTGCAGTCAAAAGGGTGAAATCACATCTATTATCTAATTAGAGAAACCAAACATACTAATGAACTGGTATTTCTATCTTGCATGCTGCTGGCATATCATCTTAGAAAATGTACATTAAAAACAAACAAACAAAAATGTTTATGTCCCTTTGAGAAGCTCTGCAGTGGTGCCAACAGCCCTTCAATGACTATCCTGCCAGGTCAAGCCAAATCTGTTGCTGGCTATCAGACCAGATGCAGAGGATTCTTAACAGAAGAAATACTTAAATCTACCAAAGTATTTTCTTTAGTATTACCTTAGTACTTTTAAATACTTTGATTTGTCAATATCCACACAGAGACAAGCACTGTGCATAACCAGATAAGAAACACCTAGAAACACAGCTTCTAGCTTTTTACTACCAAAAAAATACAGCAGAAGGTTTTGGAAGACAATCCATTCTATCCTCAGGAAAGCAAAGTCGTACGTTTTTCATCAATCATAAAAAACACCTCGAAGATACAGAGAGTACTGAAATTTCTTCCCTTAACGGACAAACACCTAAGGTGTGGGGGAGGGAAAAGCATGAGTTTGTTTTAAACTAACTGCACAGATCTAAAGGTGCAACAAAGTGCAGGGCTCCTGTGCCCCTCACGGCTGAACAAAACCCACCTGAGTGGAGATGAAAAGTGGATTCAGGCTGTTTGCATCTCAGCCAGTGTTTGTGATTCGAGAAAGGAGGAAAGGTATTTGGGGCAATAATGACAACTGCTGTGTTCCCTCATCCTGCTCACCACTGGTGAGTGAGTTCCTGGGGAACTCTCTGGCTTCAGAGAGCTGCAGGCTGAGGTGGGGATGAGCAGTGGGAAGGCAGAGGCAGCTGGAACTGCCCCAGAAACGTGGCTGGGAGCACAACAAGTGCAAGGCGTGCTTGGTGCTTTTCAAACGCGATGCGAAATCCATCACTCGCCAGCTTACTACAAGCTGAAAAAACCCCAAGTTTTTCCCTTTCACAAGTGATCCAGCAGAACACAGGTTTAATAAATAAATAAATAAATAAGCTCAGATAAATAAAAAAGGGGCAAAGCCAGAACGGGGCAGGTGCTGCCCCACCACAGGCAGGCCCGTTCCCCAGCACCACT